TCTGGAGACCACGAAGACCACGTAGCACGCGCTTGCCGAACTCAGCGGGCATGGCGAAGAATTGGCCGGCGCAGGACAGCGCGGAGACGACCCGCGCTTTGCATGTGCGCGTTGATGGACAGCAGCGCCGACGTCACTCAGCAGAGCTGGAGGCGCTGCCGGCGCTGCTGCCAGGAGGCCAGGAAGGAGCCGAGAGGCGGGGCCGCGGGGCCCAAAAGCAGCACCCCAGCTGTTTTCACTTGGCGGCTGTCTGGAAGCAGGCCCACCTCGGGACGTGCAAGGCCAGGATCGGGTCGGGCGAAAGGGGGGGATAGCAAAGGGGGGGTTTGAGAATCAGCTCACGTAGCTGAGTTTCCTGGCGCCTCCCGGCGCCGGGAGGCGGCTATGTATCGAGGAATGGGCCCCTCGATGGGGCCGAAACCAGCTGCATGCAGCAAATTTCGTACCCCCCCCTTTCCCAATCCCCCCCTTTCGTCCGGCCCGACAGGATGTTCTGGATGCGGAGATGGAACTCTTCGGAGAAGGGCGCGAACAGCGGGACCAAGAAGCGCTTAGCAGGCTTAAGGTATAGCGCGGCGCACATGGCGGCAGACTCCATGATCGCGGACAGTTCGGGGAGGGCATGGATCGAGAAGAGCGCGCTACCATCATCGCCAGCGCAAGCACGCAAAGCCGCATGGCCAGGACATCCAGCGCAGCGCGGATGCAGAGGAGCGTCGGGGCCATTGAAAGGGCGAAGAGCGTGCCAGACAGCGCGCAGCGCTGGACGACGCCGCGCGCGATGCGGGACGTCGCGGTCACCAGCTGGTCCGAAATCGAGACGGCCGAAACAGAGTCGCAGAGGCCCTCCACCGCCTGGGGGAATCCCAGGGGGCAGCGCAGAGCCAACAGTACTAGGGGGAGAACAAACCTACCTCGCTTTTGACCACCCTCGCTTCCAAGAGATACCAAACGATGCCAAATTGCGGCCTGTACTGGTCAGGCCGCTTGACGAGGAGGCGCGTGGTATGACTTGGTTTTGCCTGGAAGCGAAAGCGGGGGAGGTAACTCGCGCTCCGAAGTACCTCCGCAATGCGTGTTCCTGCGAGGGGCTCGGGAAAAACGCCCGGCCAGAGCCCGAGGCGGCGAGCGGCGGCGGCTCCTCGGAGGTCCCCGGGGCCAGGCCCGCGACTCGGGCCAGGGCATCCACCTCGACGACGCGCTCGGTGAACGCTCGTCAGCGGGCGGAGAACGGTATAAGATAAACTTTTCCGCCGTCGGGGGCGCCTGCCCCTTGGCGGCTGGAAAGTTTGTGCCCCTACGGTGCCACCGTAAGGGTATAAACTTTCCAGCCGCCCTGGGACAGGCGCCCCCGGTAGCGAAACAGTTTATTTTATACCGTTCTTCGCCCTTTAAGATTGGCAATGGAGCCCTGCTGAGAAGCGGGGACAGCTTGCTGCGCGGCGGGCGAGGCGGCGGCGTCGAGGGCGGCGCCGATGACTCTGAGGGACTTGCCACGAAGGCCGGGCGCGCGCAGGTCGGACGTTGTGCTCGTCTTCGCCCTGGGCACCCTTCGGGAGGAAGTCTGTTCAGCGTCGGTCGCTGCGCGGAGGTGTTGCCGGCCACTCACCAGCCAGGAGGCGGCGCCCCAGGGGAAGTCGAGGCAGTCGGGCAGCGCGCGCCGCGCGACATACGGGAGACCACCCATGCCAGGTGCCGACGAAGAAGAGAGACGGGAAGCAGCCAAGCCCAGAGAAGAGCGCGAAGACGTAGAGACCCACACCTGCGCGGTGGAGTCAAGCTGGCCACGAACGCACGCGCGCGCCGCAGACATGTCGACATCCACCTTGGAGAAGACTGGGCCCAGATGCGCCGTGACTGCGGCGACCTTCTGCTCGTCCGTGGCGCGGGCGCGGGCGCCATCTACGGCGCGTTCGAGGTGCTGCGTCTTGCCAAGTGGGAACCACGAGCGCGCGCGGCCCCCCGCCGCCTGCAACTGACCCGCAGCAGCTTTCCTAAGCCGAGGGGCGGCCAGCTGTGAGCGAAGGGCACGGATGTGGTCAGCAGCAGCAGCTAGCTGACCACGCAAGGCCCAGGACTCGAAGGCCGAGGGGTCGGCGAGCTCCATTCTGCCATCAGCTTCTCGCGGGCACGCGCGCATAGGTTCAGAGGCAGCGAGAAGTTCGGCCGCCAGCCAGCAGTCGCTGCGCCAGATGGCACGAGCAGCCCGCCGGACAAGAGCAAGCTGACCCTGTGGCGAGCTCGCGTCGGCATTGATGGAGAGCTTGAGTGATTCCGCGGCGGCCTCCTTCCTCAGGACCTTCCGCGGTCGAGACGAAGCGGAGGTGACGTGGAGTGAAGGCCGCGGTACTCCCAGCCGATCAAGCACTGGTGGGCGCTGGTTGAAGCCATCGCGCTTGCAGATGTGCTGCGGGGAGGTGCGGGCAGCACGAGGGAGGACAGCGCGGTTCTTGGGCGAGGTGGCGATCGCGGCGCGGTCGCTGACGCCGTGGTCCGGGAACTCCTCGGGGGTGCCACATGCAGCCATCGAAGTCGAGAGCTGGCAGGGCGACGAGCTGGGCCGGAGAAGGACCAGCAACGGTCCAAGATCGCCAGGGCGTCACACTCTTTGTGGCAGTGGGTCGGATCCGACATGGCCATCGCCGTTCGCGGGTGGAGCACCTGTCGCCCCATTTTTTCCTGCGGGGGACGCCCAGCGTTCTGGGCGGGACGCACCTGGGGCGAGGGAGCAGCCAGCAGCAGAGGGACGAACGGTGCGAAAGTAACGTCCCCGCCGTGGGGGGTACTCGCGGGCCCAGGCGACGTCGGCGGGAACGGAGTCCGTGAGCGAGCTGGCCTGGGAGAGGGAGGGGTCGTGGTTGTGCATGTTGTAGTGGCGCAACATGGCCTCGGGCAACCCCGTCACGATGCGGGGCACTCTCCCAGGCACCAGCGGGGCGGCCGCGGCGTGGCCCAGCGCGCGCTGCGAGAAGGGGAATGCCGCGAGCACGCTACCAGCGGCAGCAGAAGCGAAAGAGCCGCAGACCGCGCGCTCGAAGCTAATCTTCCCGGAAAAGGCGATCGCTTCAGTCCCCGTCTGGTGCATCTGCGCCATCCGTCCTCGCTCGGGCCTTGGGGGCCAAGACTTAGCTAGAGGCTCCATTCTGGTTCGGCGTCTGGCTGTGCGATGGCGTCGCTGTCAGTCTTGAAAGAAGAGCGACCCCAGGAGGAGGAGGAGGAGGAGGAGGAGGAGGACCAATGGCGAACCGCCAGGCCCGCATCGTCGAACTCGAACGCAGGCAAATGCCGACCTGGGTGCCGGGTGGTGCAGGGCGAGCGGTGCCCGAGCTTCGGAGATGGGGCAGCTTCCTTCCGTGGGCCTCGCGTCGGGTTTGGAACGGTTCCTCCCCCTCCTCCTCCTCCTCCCCCTCCTCCTCCTCCTCCTCCTCCTCCTCCTCCTCCTCCTCCTCCTCCTCCTCCTGTCGGGCCCGATGTGGAGCTGCGTCAGGACGCCAGTCGCACTAATCAGGAAGGGGACGCCGCATCCAGACACGGTCGAGCTCGAGGGAACCGAGGGCCCTGGATGCCCTGCTGCCATCGAGGCCGGCAGCGCCTGCGAAGTGAACGGTGCAGAACTTGCTGTGCGCCTCGCCGAGGAGCTCCCCGGTGCCGTCCAGGCTGATGCTGCTGAGCCAGTGCGGGACCGAGCTCTGGACGTCTTCTCTCGTGCAGATGAACCGCGCGGTGAGGGGCCGGGGTGTGACCTCGTGTGCGCGACTTGGCCAATGAAGAAAAGAACGCGTAGGAGGAGGAATAGGAGCAGGAGCTAACGTGGGGTCGACGTTCCTGACGAAGGCCCGATCCGGAGGCCGATGAGGCCGAGGCGCCTCGTCCGCCACAGCGAGAGCGGCCTTCAGCTCGCTGGTCCTCCTGGGCGAGAGCCTGCAGCCTCGCCTCGTGCTCGCCGACGGGGGCCTCGACAGCTCGGATGTGCGACGAGACGCCGCCGAGCCGAGACGGAGGCCGCTTTCCCAGAGCACCCGAAGCGGGCCCTCGAGCAGCAGAGGCGGCGCCCACGGCGGCTTTTGCGCGGCGCTCTTGGCCGCAAGCCGTACAGTCGGGGCGTTGACCTAAGGAACCTTAAATAAGGAACGAGGCCCCTTTGTTCCACAAGTTAAACTTCGATTTCCGATCGAAAACATAAGGAAAACCTGAGGCAAACTGTGAAACACTTAAGAAACACGGAGCCCCTCCCCAACGAAAAGGATTCCTTCTTCAGGGCCCCGACTGTAGAGAGTCCAGGGCGGCGCCCAGCGGGTCGACGCCTGCCTCGACCGCGCCGCCCGCCACAGAAGGCAGTGGGGACCCTGATCTGGTCGCGCTGGTTCTCGAGACGCTCCGGGAGGCCGGCCGCGCAGGGGGCGCGGACGTTGTCGTGGAGGTCGTCGTCGTGCTCGTCGTCGGACTCGGAGGGGCCGTCGACACTGCGCCTCGGCTTCGGCTCGGGAGAGGAGGAGGAGGAGGAGGAGGAGGAGGAGGAGGAGGAGGAGGAGGAGGAGGAGACGGAGGAGGAGGAGGAGGAGGAGGAGGAGGAGGAGGAGGAGACGGAGGAGGAGGAGGAGGAGGAGGAGGAGGAGGAGGAGGAGGAGGAGGAGGAGGAGGAGGAGGAGGAGGAGGAGGAGGAGGAGGAGGAGGAGGAGGAGAGGGCATGGAGGCAAGGGAGGAGGAGAATGAGGAGGAGGAGGAGGGCGAGAAGGAGGAGGAGGAGGAGGAGGAGGAAAAAGAGAAGAGGGAGGAGGAGGGCGAGAAGGAGGGCGGAGGACGGAGGAGGAGGAGGGATTGAGGAGGCAGGGAAGGGGAGAAGACACGAGGTCGCCCCTCGCCCTCCACTCCCGTGAACCCCGGGGAGGGCCGACAACGACAACGACGACGACGACGACGACGACGACGACGTCGACGACGACGACGACGACGACGACGACGACGACGACGACGACGACGCCGACGACGACGTGCGCGTCCCTGCCGATGGCGCCCCTGCTGCTGCGCGCGTCCCTGCAGATGGAGCCCCTGGTGCTGCTGCTGGCGATGGCGCCGCTGCTGGTGATGGCGCCGCTGCTGCTGGAGCCCTGGCCGATGGTGAGCTTCCGCCCGTTGCCCCTCGCCGCGGGGAGAGAGCTGGATCTGGACTCAGGTGGGGAGCGGGCCCCTGCACTGATCGGCGGACTGGCCCAGAGCAGGCCGGCTGGACTCGCAGGGGCCAGGGGAGGTGCAGGGCGTCGACGGTGCGAGCGCGGATGGCTTCACGGGGAGGAAGCGAGATGGGCAAGGAGCTTCTCGCCTTTTCTCTTTTTCTCTATAAGTATATTGTATTATTTTCTCTTCTCTTCTACTATGTTATCGTAGATTGTATTATCTTCGCTTCTCTTCTCTTCTCTTCTCTTCTCTTCTCTCATATTCTCTTATATTCTCTCTTCTCTCTGTTGTGTTCCTCCTCCTCCTCCCCATGTTTTCTTCTTCTCGTTGTCTGTCTTCCTCATCGCCTGGCCTCCACCTCCCTTTACGTCATTTTCCTCCGCGTTCCTCCTCTTCCTCGTCTGGCACCTGCCATCTCTGCAAACCAGGAAACGGCAAGCTGACATCCGCACACATCAAGTGCAAACAAGTGGCACAGTCCAACGGGGTACTGTTCAGCCGCGGAGGTGAATTATCCCCCCTCATCCTGCATGTTCGACTAGACAAGTTCATCAAAGCTGCGGCTGCACTTGCGAAACAGCGCGCCGCACGCGAATTGATCAGTATGGCATATTGCCGCACACGAGTGCGAGATGAAAGATATCATGCTTACGAGGATGTTCCATCACGAAGGTTTGTCCCGCTGCAGCAAATAAGCAAGCGGGTCCAGTCAGAATCCACAAATATCGCAAGCGGAAGACACTGGTCGGCGATCCCGCGGGGCATAATGTGGCAGCCCCCCTCCATGCTGCGCTGCACTATGAATAGGATTTCATTGACAAACGCATCCTGTGAAAGGCTGTTCACCGCCCGGCATCTCTCTGGGTCTCGTTCAGGGGGTCTGACAGCCCCGAACGCCTCCCCCAACCAAACGCGTTATCATCGGTCATCCTCGATATTCACTCCTCCTCCTCCTGTTGGCTCCTATTGGCTCCGATGCCGTCTGTTACCGCCGGCACGACTGCGATAAAGCGGCGAAGAGCAGCTCTGGGTGGCAAGGACAAGCTCTGAGAGCTATCCCGCCTCCTTGGGCACCCAGCCAGATGGCTGCCAGACCAGGGAAACCGACCTTCCCACGAACTTCTTTGAGCTGGGGTCGACTCCTCGCTTCAACTGCTTGAAAATCCCTTCTGCGGGGCGATTGCGCAGACTCCCGTGGCATTCCTGGAGAAGGTAGGGACGGGTTCGAGAGCTCCCAAAAGCCGCGCACCGAACGCATCAGGCCACTCTGCCTCCCTTCAACCGCATCCTGTGCGATGGGTGGCTAGTCCGCGCAATCCTAGGCGGCCCACGGCAGGGGAAAACACTCGCCGCACCGCGAGCCTTGCCTAGTTCGCCAGAGCGCAGGCATATAGGAGCTCTTCCCTGCACGCTCGATGGCGCGGCCCTCGGGTTCAGGGGCCAGCTCAATCAAACTCGGCTTAGCCCGACGGGCCCGTCGGATGTTTGACGCGTCGGGGCAACCCCGGGAGGCCAAATCACCCGTGATTTCTGCAATCAGCCACGCCGACTGCCGAATCAGGGGCACGATTTGGCTATACTTGCTACGAGTCCAAGGATTGTGGGGCTGGCCCTGGGCCCCCTTTCGGGCTAGCTCATGAGCCCTCCCATTCCCCCCTCCATTTCCATTCGCCAATTCCTACCTACGGGTCTGGGCCAGGGAGAAGTGAGATTTAACCTTCGACACCGAGATCCCATCGCAGCCCATCTCGCCCCCAAGCCTGAAGATGTCCTCCAAGAGCTCCGAGAACGCAGCATTTTCGAGGTCCTGACTGGGGCCCTCGTTCCAAGTCTCGATGCTGGCCTGACAATCTGCGACCACCTCCATGGTCTCTGGGCCCGCCAGGCGCAGGCACACAAGGAAGGCGTGCATTCCGCCGCAACCACTCGACTGCACCGCGCGCGGCAACGGCTCATGCGCAGCCCCAGAGACATAACCTCCCCCGGGGCCCTCGGACACGCAGGCCACTGCCCAACCAGCCCGAGTGAACTGGGGCGAGGCGGGGCCCAGTCCAGACCCGCCCAGGCAAACCCGCGGCCCCGGGCACCCTCCAGGAGGAACGGCATCCCGCTCGTGCGCTGCCTGCGCGCGCGCGGCGGGCCAGTGCCGCTCGGGGCCCCCTGCCAACGGCCGCGTCGTTGGCAGCCCGTTGGCGGGCGTCTCCTCCAAGGCGAGAAGCTGGTCCACGCCCGGATCTCGGCGAACAGGCGCGCGCGCGCGCAGGGCGGGCAAAAAAAAAATTGCCGGGGGCCCCAACCCCCCCCCCGCAGAGCTGACCGAACGGATCAACCACGCGTCGCTCGTCGCATAGCTCGGGCGCCCACGGGCAGCAGCCCTGGCGAGCCCAGCCGCAGCCCGAAGCCTGTCGGAACCCCCGAGCTTCTGGAGGACCTCGATAACGGACTCCAGCAAGGGACCCCCTTTTCTTGGAGCCCTGGGACCCTCTGCCCATCTCCAAGACTCCAAGACCTTCGAGAAGCATATCCCGGACAGCCTGATGTAGGGCAACCTTCAGGGGCTTGCACCCAAGAAACGGAATATTGATTTCAACTCCTCGAACCGTGACAGACTTTACTCCAGCTCAGGATCCTCCGGCCTAGCCTCTCGACCGCGAGAGCGACAGCACCTGCTGGCCCACGGGCGCCTCGCCATCTGCGAACAGGCTGCCGAAAAAAGTTGGAGAAGCTCCACTCCATCACGCGGGGCCCGAACCGCCCCTGACGGGCCGCCTGGCTCCGGGCAAAACAGGTAGAGCATGCGCGTCGTGCGATGGGTCCGTCTTCGGTCCCACCGAGAAACTCCAGCGCCCTGCGCCTCCCTTCTGGGGTTCCACTAAGACCAGCCCAGGGGCTCGTGCGGAGTTGTCCGAAGGCCGTGGTGGACATTCTGTAGACTCGGCACCCGTAGGTGGTCGACGGGGCGCCCCCGCTCCTGGCAGCCTTGAACATGCCTTTCGTGGCGCTGTTAGGCCCGCGGGCCCACGGGGCCGTTTCCCGCGGATGCGGATCTTGCTGCAGCGTTTTTGCCACAAATTAGTTCCCCGAGCTCCTTGCAGCACGGTCTGATCGTACCTTCAGTTGCGGCCCTGGGACACACCAGTGAAGCTCCACTGATCGAGCTTAGCGACTGCGACTGCCCTGGCGGCCGCGCGGCTGCAGGGGGCGAGGCCATTGGCCCGTGAGACAACGAGCTGCGACTTCTCGAGCTGCATACAGAGAAAACACCGCGCGTGGAAGTAATTACTCTTTCAACATTGGCAATGCAGTCCGCTGCTTGCGATGTGACATCAGCGACGACGTCGTACACCCTGACACTTGCAAGGGCCCCCTAGCGCGGCCCAGAGGGCCCATGATCATGACTCGAAGCAATGTTGCCGCACATCCACATCCCGCGAGGATCCTCTGGAGGGCCGCAACGGGTTTCCCGGCTACCCCCATCGCAGTCGCGATCCGACGACCACGATGTAGAGAGAGCAGCAGGCGCCACTTGGCAAGGTTAAACTGACGCTTGACCGCGGCAACCGCCAAGAGGTAGTGGCAGACTTTCTCGTGGACCTTGGTGAAATCGATGAGGCGCAATCCTGAGCAACCTCCTGCGCTGGCGCGCTGCTCGACTGCTAGACTCTGATCCAGCTCGCTCGCAGCTCTTACCGTGTACTCCGAGCAGGGAATCACGACGGTTATCTCGCTCCCAGCGCGTTATCTCGCGCCTCGGCAACTTGGAGGAAACTCAAGCAGGCGTGGGAAGCAGGGCAATCGTCCGAATACCTCCTTCGGGCTTGACAAGCATCGCGAGGGTGGTGGTGAAGGGGATGGTGGGGTAGGTGCCCATAACTCTATCTTGGGCCACAACTCACCCAACGCCAATGGGTGGCCATCCGAAGCCTTGCCCAGGCCCCCGGGCAAAAGGACATCGATCCCGACCGCCGTGCGTTGCGGAAGCTTTCTCGTAGCAGCTCTAATGTCCCCAACGGACCTCGGCTCTGAGCACAAGCCCTGGACGTCGACCGCCTGGGCATCCGCCCGGGCGTTGATCCGGCGCGCGGAGTAAACGACGGGATCGGGAAATCTGCCAGCGCGCCCACGAAGCTCCCAGACGCCCGCCCAGAAGCCCGCGAGAATATCAACCTGCCTCTGGGGCCCAAACGGAGCCGCGAAGCCCCCGACCATTTTGCTCGACTCGGGCGGGGCCCAGCCGATCGGAAACTGCGCGCGCTGGCGCGCGGCGCGCCATGCCAGCGCCGTTAGCAACGGCATCCCGCGCTCAATTCCGCCACTGCTTCCCCCGCCCCGCGCAGAACTTCCGCCCGGGGGCGCGGGCGAAACCTTGTGCCTCACCACCTGAAAGCTGGCGCTGCTCGCACGCGGCGTTGCAGGTAGTGCTGAAGGGCGGCGCCAATGACAGCCAAGCCTCGTCTCGTCGCCGCTGCTTGGGCCCCCTCGACCGCTTTCAGAAGCCCCATAGACTTACCTTCGCCCCGCCGGATGCCCTGCCTTCCTACATGACGGAACTCCGAGAAGAGACTCGAAAACCGACGCCGCCCACGACTTTCAGGGCTGCCCATGGGAAACCGACCACCAGGTGCCCCGAGAGCGGGGGCCTTCATGACATTGGGCCCCTCGGCCCCGCCGAAATATTTCAGGCTATCCAGAAGCCCGCGGTATAAGCCCAACTCTTTTTCCACCGCCTCGGTGAACCGACGATGACAGACGCGACCCCCGACGCGACGCCGTGCGCGCTGACTCGACGCGCTCATTATCACCAAGCGGCTCTGGCACGGGCCCTATCACAACTCCCGATGGGAACGCTCCCAGCCGACGGGGCGCCTGGGCCAGCGCGCCGAGAGGCGCGCCCTTGAACTTCGCCACCGCTGGCCGGCGCGGCTTGGCGGGGGCTTTCCTGCCGACGAAGCGAGAGTCCACGT